CACTGAGCTATCTCGCTGGCCTGTTTTGGCTTCTTTGGAAGGTTGCTTTTTATTCACTCAAGCTTTGATATCATGCCACCAGCCATTTGGGAAACCCTGTCTTAAAGTATCATTGGCATGACAGGATGGTAAATGGAACTTTTCCTATTTTAAAACTGCTGCTGATACCCACAGGCAGCACTGGACTCCTCCTACGGTGAGGTGTCACCCAGATGTGGCTGAGCACAGGCACTGAGCCTTCCATGCTCTCACCCTCCTTCGGCCCACACTGAGGAACCGGAGCTGAGCTGACAGGGAGGGCAGAGTTTGCTGGAGATATGTGGAGCGGCTCTTGGGAGAAAGGGGACAGCCGCCTGAGCACAGAGGCTTCAAGCGAGCTCTGTGAAGACACTGGCCTGGTGCACGACTCTCACGTTACGAGATGGCTGCAGCCATCTGATGGTGAGGGAGGCTCGGCAGCTGTGTCCTGTACTTGCAGAGTTGCCGGGGCAAAGCGCTGGTGGCTCCCGTGAGCCCGGAGAGTGCTGTGGAGGGAGGGAGGGAGGGAGGGAGGGCTGCACAGCATTGGAAGTCTCGCCTGCCACAGGAGGCGATCCCAGTGCAAGAGGCTGGGCGGGAGGACTTCTAGGGAGTTCGGACCGAGCGGGTCCTGGAGGGTGCGCAGCAGTAACAGGGTTGTGGGAAGGCCCTCGAGGATAAGGTGGGGGAGCAGGTAGAGGCAGAAACCAGGAGACACTAAAGCCACCCGCAGCGGCTGCGAGTGCAGCGCGGGCAGATCACGACTTGCCTCAGCAGAGGAGAGCCTTTTCCTTCCGCCAGCGCTTTCTCTCTTCCCTCCCCACTCCTCTCTTTCCCTTTTCCCCCTTCTCCCCTCTTTATCTTCAGGGACCCCTTACTCCATGTAAGAGAAAGGTTGAGCTATTTGAGACAAGGTCTTGCTATTGAGCCCAGGCAGGGTCAGTGCGGAATGTGGTGCCAAGGATCGAACCCTGGTCCCTGTACTTGCCTAAGCAGGTGCTTAGTCTGCTGAGCTGTCTTGTCATCGAAAAGTGGAGCTATGAAATGTGGGAAAAGTGAGACATTATGAACTGAGAGTTTGCAATTTGACTTAGATCAGACTGGATTAAAAATCACTGTGGGGCTGGCGAGATACCTCAGCAGTCTAAAGTGCCTGCTCAGGCAAGCGAGGGCCGTGATCCCACCCGGGGCACCACAGGCCGCAAAGCTCCGCCCCCTCAGGAATGACTGAGCCAGCCATAAAGAAATAAAAATTTTTAAAAAAGAGAAGAAAATAACTATGTGATCAATGAGGCACTGAAAGGACATAAAGAAGTACAACAGAACAGACACCCACGTGACCCCAGTTTAAAGCAGTCCAACACCAACAGCCTGGGTGAGGCTCCGACGGATTCCTCGGGGAACACAGACCCGTCATCCTCCTCCTGCCCAGAGGGCCCCGCTGGGACTCTGGTGTTCTCTTTCTCTTACGCTTCTTTATACTTTCCCAGCATGGGCACATATTGCTAAGTAACTTACAGAGTTGTAGGCAACCTGTTTTGTTTTTTTTTTTAACATACCCTTATGTTTCTGAAATTCATTTACATTCATAAGTGTGGAGAAGAGATGCTTATTAAGCTTAGGAATGACTGGGAAAAGGCCCAGAACTCCCTGTGGACAGTCAGGGTGGGGCGGGGAGTGCCGGCTGGACAGGTCTGAGACAGCGCAGTTGGAAAATAAAATTGTTTTCTGGGTTCCCACCACGAAATTCAGCTTATGCTACAAGCAGATTCTCATAAAGCAGTGAGAGTCCTGCTCCCCCCATAAGATGCAGGTGTTAAGGAGGAGGCAGATGAGTGACTGAGGGTGGTTCTCACTGTTTATTTGCATCTCTGTAATGTAGGGAAGGGAGGCAGAGGAAGGAGGGCGCCCTTGGAGGCGCAGGACAAGCCAGCAAAGGTCACTGAAGGACTGGCCTGCCTTAAAACGTTGACTATGAAGGTACCAGACGCTCATTATGCAAACTAAAATGTCAAACAACAAAAGCAAGAACGCTAGCAAAACCCCAACCAAATAAAAAACAGAACACAAACTAAAAAGGTAGAATAATGACCCACAATTCCACATATACTGACAAGATTCAGTGTATTTCCTTCTAGCATAATTTAACTATCTAGCTCTGTCTGGGTGTATAAATATTGCCAAAGTTATTAGGTATGAGCAGCTTTGTGCCCAGATAGTATTAGTGATGGTATCATGTGTCTTCCAACAATATAAGGTCTTCATAAACATCTTTTTTTTCTAGGCTGGCTTGAACTCATGAACCCCTTGTCTCAGCCTTCCAAGTAGCTGGGGTTATAGATGTGTCACTGTCCCAGGATTAAACAGAAATTCTGATAGCCCAATATTATTCTACTAACTGGTTGTGTCATATTTTTCCTTTAGTGATTTTCCTATTGTTTATTTTTAGTTTTCTTAAATCGACAGCACAGTTAATATTCTTGAGTATAAATTTTGAACTTCTAATTATTCTTTAAAAGAGCCAACAATTTAATTGGAGGAAGCAACATGTACAATGTCTATAGAAAAATAAAAGATCATTTAACAATAAGGATGTTCCTTCTTCCCACCCAATCGCTTAAAAAAAAGAAAATCCTCGAATAACCTGATAGAATTAAATTACTTGGAATCCAAACACTTCAAAGCCTAAAAATACAAACACTATGTCCACAACCATTCCATCAAAAGAACATCTGCAATTCATCCATTTACACTGTTCCAAGTAAAGGGTTAATTATGTCCAGTAAGCTGCCCACCTCTTGGTAAAGACCAGTTCAGTGTTAGGCCAAATACAGGAGCGTGCCATTAAGTGGCCGAGGGTCGGGGATGTACGACAAGATGCACAGGGGCCAGCCGGTGGTTATGGTACTGCCTATCTGTGAGTCTCTCCTGGCTCTGAGGTCTTGTTGGACTCTGAATTCAAACTAAATTGGTCTAAAATGCAAATTCACTCTAGGTTTCTCCGGGTCATTCTGAGGCCATTATTTTTTCAATAGAATCTAAAACATGGCACGTGGCAGCCTGCCTCCACAAGGGTATCCACGGATGCACACTCGGTGGTGGTGTGCCTTTGCGTGGCTCCCACTCACAGTGACTCGGCGTTGACTCTATGTGATCCACACAGCACAGCAGAAGCGATGGAACCCTTGAGGCTAGGATGCTAGAAGCAAGGCAGCTTGTGCGCTGCTCTCTGCGGGTTGCTTTGGAGGGAGCTGGCACCAGCTATGAAGATAAAACTGTCCATGGGAAGAGGAAGTGCAGTCCCCCGGCAAGAGCCAGCCCAAGCTGGCTGTGAAACGTGCAAGGACAACATCATCAAAATAGAATATTTTGCCAGGGATGGTGCCACACGCCTGTAAATTCAGCAACGGGGAGGCTGAAGTAGGAAGATCATGAGTTCAAGGCCAGCCTAGTCTGCATGGTGAAACACTGTCTCGGGGAACAAAAACAAAAGTCCTCCAAAAAACAAACAAAAAATCCCAAAGAGCTACTTTATCATAACACCTACCTTTTTCTTAGAACTAATGTTAACAGATTCTTTATAGAAAACAAGACAGCCAGAATCATCTGGATATAGTCTCCTATTTTGCAATCATTTTTTTTCTGGTTTCACTTTTTTTTAAAGCCAGGCCTAGTCTTTTTAAAGGTCTTTTTAAATGCCAAGGACAAGATAATTTGAATTTATTTGTAGTTAAGGAAGTTCAAAGGGACAAAAAGATTTCTAGCTCAATCTCTACCTGGAGACCCAGCGAATTAAAGAAAAATCTTGCTATTGTAATGTTATGAAGTGAGATGTATTTATAGCGAGAGCCTGTGTCACATTCGTGGTGAGTCACAAGGAAGGAGAATAATAGGAGCCTCTCTTTCTGGAGTCCTGCTACACGCCAGGCACATCTCCCCAGAGAGGGAGTGCTGTTTGGTGTCATGCCCACTTCACAGGCTGAGCTCAGGGAAGTAACTTGACCACATCAAGCAGCTACTCCTTGGGGAAGCAGGGTTGGGTGCCGGATCCCTAGCTGGTCATCTCGTCCTCGGCTTCCTCACACACCATGCTGCGGGAGGGCAGTGACTTCATCCGAGTAACTGAGGCAGAAAGGGAGCAGGGTGGGAGGCTTTGTGGTGGGATGGCAGTTGAATCAGCTTAATGGAGAAACGAGGCACAAGAACATGACATCGTGGTGGTCAAGATCATGGGTTCTGAGATCTGAGTCTCTATTGTGTCCCACCAGGGGAGGCATTCTTGGGTGAATTCCTTTAACCCTGGTACAGATGGGATAATAACAGCATCTTCTTCAAACAGGTTTTGAAAATTAAAAGATACAACATGTAGAAGGTACTTAGCTAGTCCAGTACTTGACTCAGAGTGAGTGTTCAATAAGGAGAGCGCTAACATCGGAAGCCCACTGTCATTGTCAGCAACAAGTATTACTCGGGGCAAGAAATGGGAAGGACCATACAGTGTTAAGGCAATTCAAAGACAGAACTGAGAAAAGAGAGTAGTTTGCGAACAGGACAGGGGGGAGAGGGACCAGTGACTGCGTTGGTGGGTCATGCAACCTGTTCATTTCACTCAGCTTGGCCAGGACCCAAGATGAGTGCAGACACAATGAAGTAGGACCACGACTGGATGACTGGGCCTGAGTTCCACAGCATCTTTAAGAGCCAGAGCTTATTGGGTTGGAAGAGGACAGCATATTCTCCAAAATGATTGCTGCCAGCCACCTAGCTTGGATGAACGTGGCTGCCCACAGAGTTAAAGCAGCGTCATTTGCTGGACAGGGGAGACCGACCCGATCGCTCCAGTCCCACGGACTCACCTGAGGCCCGCCAAGAACTCCATGACCGTGTTGTAGTTGCCCATGTTCCAGCAGCACTTGGCCACATGCACCAAATGTGAGAACACTTCCCGCTTCTCCTCCATGGACCCCGCCGTGAGGACCAGCCAGGTTACCCAGGAGCTCACCTGGAAGACACAGAGGGCGCACTCACCGCACCTGGGCCAGGAGCTGGGGAAGCGCTTCTTCACAAGGACACTGTTGGGTTTTTCAAAGAATTCTTGAGTATTAGAATAGGAAGGACTCATCTGCAAAGTCTGAAGTGAAGACCTAGCTTGGGCACTGCTCTGATCGGAGGCTGTGCACACTCAGGAGTCTCTCTGCCTCTTCACTGAAAAGGGACACTGGTAAGAAGATCCTTCTTGATTGATGCAATTGCATGAGACTGGTAAGAAACTAAAACCTAAGAATAAATTTCCATGAAATATATTTGATGGGATGTCAAGATTAAATGTAATCAGTGTACTTAACTCATAAATAAAAGATGTTTATCAATCAGTTAAAATGTGTACTAGCAAATAAACAATATAAAAGTTTTAAAACATTTTTTTTTTTTTTTTTTGAGACCGGGTCTCCCTATGTGGTCCAGCCTGCCCTTGAATTCACTGTGTAGCCCGGGGGGCCTCGAACTCATACAAGCCTCCTGCCTCAGCCTCCTGGGTGCTGGGATTACTGATGTGTGCCACCTCACCTAGTGTCCTGAGGTTACAGTGCCTGTGGATGGCAAACCCATGACTCCAAGTCTAGTGCTCTTCCTTTTATCTGATGAGGAGCGACAGTTTCTTTATAGAGGAAGCTGAGTAAGTCTTCCTAAGCACTCAGTTTGGAGCTGAGACCACGACGAAGTGGTTCTGAGCAGGATTTCAAGTGAACC